GTGGCTCGCTGGAGTGCTGGGTTCACAGTGTAGACCCTGTGTGGAGGGCATCTCTCCTCAGCTTTATTGATCACTGGCTTGGCAGGTGGGAGGCTGCACAGTTCTATATATCTGTATTATGACTCTGAAGTGCTCCATAATAACATACCTGGTGAAAAACAGAATAGGATTTTCATGCAGTTGATTATTTACATACACTTCTATTTATAAAAGTCAATGAGCCTAGGGAGGATAAATACAAACAGAGGTCCCTCTCTTTTTCTTTCCTCTTCTCTCCCTCAAACATTTTTAGAGCTTAAAATTATGCCTGGTGGAAAGTGAAGGGTCAGTACAAGTTTCTAGAAGCTCAGTACTTTATCTTCTACTCTGTCTTCAACTTATTAACTTAATGTACTTTTAACTTAGGCTTTATTTTGTCAAATAAGTATTAAGGATTTTTTTGGTGTGTTTCACTGTATTAGTACATGTAATGCAGTACATGAAGTTGACGCTTATCTTGGGGGTAGGCATGCATACCAACTCAGCTCCTTCCTTTCCTTTCCCGACCCTCTTCCCCTTCCCATCCACCTCCCTCTCTCCTTCCCTCCCTATTGAAGTCCTCTTTCCCCATTTTCATTCTCTTTGTTATCATTCTTGCCTCATGTTTACAACCTTAATGTTTACATTCATTGTGGGTATTTGGAAGCTGTACTGTCGGATCTTAATTCTCCTGATTGCTCCTTCTCCTGCCCTTCTGCCCACACCCTCCGGCTCCTGGACCTCTTCCCATCTGCAAGGTGTCTATCCCCTGGTCTCCTTCTAGCCATCTTTTATGTTGGCCTTTGTACTTTGCCTTACTCAAATGACAGATACCATATGGTATTTAAGCTTATGTAAGTATGATTTATTTCACTGCATACTAATGTGTATAGCAGAACAATTCATATTAACTAAATCCTGAAAGTAGACTGTATGCCTGGTAGTTTAATGGAATACTATTCACCTAAAAAAAAGAATAAATTCAAGGTATGTGTAGGAAAATAGATTTTAGATTTTTGAGGAAAAAGTAGGCACAATTCTGCATATTAATCTTCTGGTTAATTTAAAAAGAAATGTCCAAAAATGCTTTTAACTTTATAAACCCAACTGAAATCTTCCTTTGATCCAAGTATGCCACGTATGAAACAGAATGTCTATGTTCTCGGATTCAATATTTTTAAATAGTTTAATTTTAATCAGTATCTTTTTTTTTGAGACAGAATTTCACTATTGGGGAGGGTACTGGGATCAAACTCACAAATTCATGTTTTCTAGGCAGGCACATGTGCTGCTGAGCTAAACTGCTGGTCTAGCATTTCATTACATGATCTAAACTGGCCTTGTACTCACCATACAGTCCACACTGGCTTCAGCTTCACAAGGATCCTCCTGCATTAGCCTCCCAAATGCTGAGGTTATAGGCGGGCACCACCATGCCCAGCTATTTTGATCAGTTTTATAGATTTTCACTGAAGGAAACAGTATGAATAGTTAAAAAGAAAAAAAACCCCACAAGTTCCTGGCCCTAGCACCATGCCAAAAAAATTAAAAAGTTAATTTTTTTAATGTACACAGAATTTACATTAATCAATGAAAGACCACCTGGACAACAATTTGAAATTTATTAATTTCAAGTACATTTTCTGTGCTTGTGAAAGACTAAATTCTCTTGTTCATAGTAATTTAAATACCTTTCTGGCATTCAAAATAAACCAGAGCAATATTCACTGTTCACTCTTGGTCACTAAATGTGTAACATAAGAAATATGTACCTTTCTATTGCAAACTAGAAAGTAAATCAAAATAATACAGAGTGTATCCACGGGACAATTATCGTTATTAACTGGAAATCTTTTCAGTACTCTGCAGTACTAAAATTCTAGCAAAATCCTTACAAATAGGAATGATGGTGGTTAAAAAAAAAAAAAATGCCACTTTTTCAGAAAGCCCAGAAATACTCCATCAACAATTAGGGCACAGTGACACGGGCCTGTAATTGCAGCACACGAGGCTGAGGCAAGATGTTAGTTTGAGGCCAGCCTGGGCTACACAGTGAGTTCAAGGCCAGCCTCAACTGAAAAGCAAGACACTGTCTCATAAAACGCCAACCCCTTTCAGAAGAGTTTTAAAAAGCACAGGTACAGTACCTTTTACTGTCATTGTGAAACGGTACCACCACCTGCTGGTTCATGCAGAAACTGCAAACCTGGAAAGAGTATCGTTTTTAACCATGTTTTCAAGTGTATTGCACCAATTATGCTTAATTGCTTAATAAAATATAAATTTTACCAATGAAAAAAATATTGGATAATACCCGTAACATGTGTGGGTTTTCTAGTCCATAATGTTAATCTCAGTATATTCTAATTAAAAAAGACTAATTTCCCTGTTGTCTGATGCGATCATAAAACGTGCAACACATTTCCTCAGACAGTGCAGGTAAGAAATCTCTGACAGCTACCTCTTCTTCACTTGAATTGCCTGATCTCCCCAAATGTTTATTAAAGAGAAAAAAATCAGGCAGGTTTGATACTGTGATTTGTTTTTCCTCTCCTGTGACTTTTGGCTTTGCTGACATCTAACGTACAATCGGAAAACTGCACCACTGTGTCACAGATGGGTCAGCTTTTCGAAGAGCTCAGGGAGACAGGAGCAGATCACCCAGTAGGATGCTGCAACCTCTACCTCCGTTATCCCAAATCTGCCCCATTTCCCTACATCTTTACCTTCAACAGATTTGAGGTGCTCAAGTTACCTGCCTGTAGAGCTCCCCATTATGTATCTTGCAGTGTGAAGTCTAGTTAGCAGTGGAGTTGCTCACAAATCTAGCACAATGTGGACTTTTTACAACTGCTAAAAGACTTAGGCACAATTTTGCAACTCCAAATCTTTCCAAATTCTTACCACAAGCCAGTTCCAAAGGCTCCTTGTCTTGGTTACTTTTCTCTTGTTGCTGAGACAAAACACTTGATACCCAAAATTAGGGAAAGAAAGGCTTATTTTAATTTTTGGAGGTTTCAGTCCATAATCAGCTGGCTTCAAGGCAGGGTGGCACAACACCAAGGCAAGACTTCAAGGCGGCAGCCAGATTAAAAGCCGGGGGAAAAAATCTCTTCTCCTCCCTTATATTGTAAGCAGGCTACCCCCACCCAGGGCGAGTCTAGTACTTACACCACCTCCGAGGCCTTCTCTTGCACAGGCTGAGGATATTTACAAAGCAAGGTTCCTGGATCCCTGCTGAGTCTCTTAGTTAAAATTTTAACTTCTCAACCATAAAAGTGTTATCAACCATAACAGCTCCTAAACCACAAGAACAGGAACAGTCATAGTAACCACCCCATCCTCAGTACCAAAATCTTACTTTTCCTTGCTGAGACAAAATACCTGACACCCAAACTTAAAGGCAGAAAGCATTATTTAGGCTCACAGTTTATCGCTGTCAGTTTACAGACAGCTGGCTCCAAGTCAGGGTCGCATGGCAGAGGGGCATCGCAGAGCAGAAACAGTTCATGGTGAGCAGAAGGCAGCAAAGCAGTGAAGCAGCAGCAGCAGCAGCCCGCCTCTCCCTTCATTCTTTCCAAACTACTTGCTCTTCCGGTGGTGGCACCCACACTCGGGGTGGATCTTCCCATTACCCATCCCCAGAACCACGCCAAGCCAATCAGTGAAGTAATGTAGTAAACACACATCCTTAATCTCAGCATCACATGCCCTAGAGCCTGATAGTTTTTAAAACCCCACCTATAAATACATTAAGGTTTGGGGGAACATCTTGACAGGAGCTATAATAGCAATTTAGTAAGACTCTGTTTCAAAATAAAAAATGACTGATTCAACCCCACTACCCACCCCCGACACACAATGAATTTATCTCAGGTTGTCCAGATTGATATAAAACACAAGCCCTTCAAAGTAGAGAATTTTATTTTACAAAGTAGAGAATTTTATTTATGAAAAGGGTAGGTGGAGCAGAGATAGGAGAAAGGAACTCAGAAAAATTTAGATCTTGAGAGCCGACATTGCTGGCTTTGCAGATGCAGGAAGTGAGGGGCGGTGCATGAGCTAGGCAATGTGATTGGTCTGCAGCACACAGGAACATTAAGACCCAGTTACTAGCGAGGACGAAAAATGGACTTTATTTTTGAAATGCCCTGTACTTGATTTCTTCCAACTCCCTCTAGAGTTTCCATCATTGAATATAGCCTTATTTATTATTGACTACAACCTTAACTTGATTTGAGAACCATGGAACTGAAAAACACTTACACTACACTCTGCCTGGACTTTTGACATAAATAAATGTGAGTAATAGACAGATACTGTTTTATGATACTAAATTTTAATAATTTGCCATGTCACTAGTAGAAACTCAATATAGGACAAATAATTTGTTGTGGATAATGAAAACCAGGTCTCTTGCTCTCAGAGAAAGGGTCTACAATAAGAAAAAAGACTAGATTAACTTCCTGGCACTAAATTTCAATTGGAAGTATTCATATATTTATGCCCTCGGTTTTACTTATTAAAAAAATGCATCTAGGTACTGTGGTGAAGGGTCTTTGCAGGTTCAATGAATATTACCTATGCTGCACGATCAGTGAAATGCAATAAAAGGGATATATTACTTCTAAAACTGGGTGACAATAAGACACTAAGACATAAGACCTCTACATGTCATTATGCTCTATGAAATGGCTCACATGCAGAGGAATGGACTTCTTTAACCCTCACATAAACACACATGTTTACAGGAAGGTTATCTAATCCTGGGCACATTTTAATGATTCTGTAGGCTCAGTCTTTAATCACTTTAGATCTCAGATCAGAACCAGGAAGCATAACTGCTCCTAAAGTCCTGACTGTAAGACAATAAGCATAATTTTAAGTTACTAGAATTTAAACTTGTTTAGGACTCAGCAATAGAAAAGAAACACATCATGAATGAAACAAGGAACTGTTACAGATTAGGAAAAACTAAGGACTCATAAAAAACAAATTTAATGTGGGAACCTAGTGTGGATACAGAGAGGATAAAGAACATTAGTAACCAATATGATTTACAAGTTCTGTGCCAAGCACTTTGATAAACTGAGATGAACTAAACACATTCCTTCCAAAACTACATTACTTCTGTAAATATCAGATGTTTTATAATATGCCATTTGTAACATATGGTTACTCATACAAATCTCAGATGTTCAATTTGTTATACAAGGAAACTATTATTGAGAGAAATTTCCCAATACATATTTCATAATGAGTGTAATTTATAGTTAATGAAACATATTTATTGAGATACTCAAAATCATTAATTACATTTGACTTCCAAAGTACAATTTCCTTTTCCCATTAATAAGTGTGCTTATATTCAAACTGAGATTAATCAAATTTCAAAATCTGTGTCGTTTAATAAAGTCACTTGCTCTAATGTAAATACTTTGATTTAATAAAAGACATATATGGCAAAGTCATTTACAATAAAGAGAAATCTGAACATTCTAAACTTTTATTTATATTTTCTTCCAATTTACATAGTAAAATGCATACAGTTCTTTCCATGTATTTTCTGCTGTAGGAAGTCAAAACGCTTAAGTTCTAAGGTAATATATCCAATTATATACAAAATCATAATAGGTCAACTTGTGAGTTCAAACTTTTTGAATACAATCATTATAAATTATGAAAAACATAACTTGTGAAAAATTTTTCTAGAAGTAGCATACCAACACATACAACCTAGGTCGGTGACGGCAAAGCTTTTAGAGCTTTCAATGACAACAAACAGCCCACTGTGACACAAATGCAACAGGTTTGCCACCACCGACCTACGTGAATTCCAAAGCAAAAAACAAGGGTCATAAATTATAATAGTGTCTGTATCACCCTATCATGAAATGAGGTATTCTTTCCATAGATGTATAGTATAAAGAGGAGTCAGATTCCTTTTGAATGGGAAAATGACTGTTCTATTGCAACCACTTTCATTAAAAGTTTGTAAAAATATATCATCTTATAAAACAATACATTTAACGCAGGGTAGCCCTTGATAACTAACAATCTTTATGAAAGTTATTTACTTATTATTAACTCATCAAACTATTTCTCTCTGTGGAGTTATCTTTTTTTTCTCTCTTTTTCTAAAATTAAGTGGCTCTGGTCTAAAGTATTTGTATAGTTATTCTGTTTGCTTTATTTTCATTTCACATTTCTTTCAGGGAGGTTCTTAGAATTTGCCATTCTTTTACAGCTAAGAAATTCTCCCACTGAATCACTTGCTTCCAATTAGAAAACACAGGAAGTCCCTTAGTCTTGGCCCCACCACGTGGAAACATTTAAAACGTGTCTTGCTGAGTGGAGGGAGATACCCAACTGAGATACCGTCATGTATTCCTCTATCTTGCATATCCCTTTGGTTGCTGAGATTTTGTTTCCAAGAACAAAATTTTTAAATTTTTGGCAGCCTTCTTACTTTGATGCTTGTTTAAATGTTCCTAGTTAAGTAGATCTGTCCCTCTGATTACTGACCCACTGGTCCTCTCTCAGGATATTCAACTTGCTTGTCTGACTCCTAACTTACCTCTTCTTGAATCTCAGTCTGTACTGCTACTAGGTTCTTGAATGATCCTTGCCCACAGACTGTTGCCAAAAATCAGTGACATCCTGCCAACTTCTACAGCTTCTCATGTTGACTTTCTACTAGGTCTTTACTCTCAGTTTGCAGTATCCTGATCACAGTATAACAAGAACACTTGCCCGTAAAAAACTAACTTAAGAGAAGACTGATAGGGGAAACCTACCAAGTCTTTAGTTTGGAAAAACATTCAAATGTAATCACTTCTGGGATTAAATTTCAAACTGCTTTTCCCTGGCTCAGGTTTAGGAAGTCAGAGCCTCAAGCACAATAGGGAGGTCGTGCTTTACTACTGAGCAACACCCCTAGCCCTTCAACACTGTTCTCAATCAGGGAAATTCTTAACCATAGTAAAAGTTATTTTTGAGGATGTTCACTGCGATTCCCTCCGTATTCTGAGTTAATGTGATGTAAATCTGACCTGAATAAACAAAGTTATAAACTGAGCTCCATCACTGAGCTCTATCCTGCCAGCCCTCTTTTCACAGATCATTGGCACTTTTTATTAGTGAAGCAGGTTCTATCCTCTGCAATATATGCAACTGAATAATACTATCACAGGATCATAACAATTAAGTGTTAAAAACTCAACAAATTACCTCCTGGAATTTTTAAGTTAAAGTGAAAACAGGTGTATTCAAAGCTGGTATTTCTGTATTCACCATATACTGGAACACAAGATAAGAAACCAATATTCTAACAGTTCGATAATTTACTGTGTTAAATAAAGTTCAAAATAATACACATAAATTAAAAAGAAACTATTTTATAAAGCTGCCTTTAAACTCATGAGCTTCCTATAATAATCCTCATAGAACATTGCATAAATTTGATGAGTTTAATTTTGCACGATTCATTTTCAAATAAACTCAAACTATTGACAATGAAAATTAAAAAATAACAAATTGTAAAAAAGAAAACACTGCTTCTTTGGAATTTTTTTCTCACCATGTTTTTAAAATGTAAACATTTAACTAACCGCTGGCTGGCTTTCTTGTTATTGGTTGGTGATTGCATACCTAGAGTGTGGAAAAAAGTGAGCATATGTGATTTGAAGCTTCAGTGGACCTTGAAGGCACAGGTCTGATTCTTGCTTTGAAACAAATCAACAGTGCACACACATGCAACAAACACACTCAATTAAGAAAAACATCAGCTGTTAAAATGGTGTCCTTATTGGGCAGATAATGCTGTAATGGTACTATCTTCTCCAAAATGAAGACTGATTTTCCAGCTATAAGACACCTTCTTCTTTCACCCATCATTCACTCCTTTGTTGAGAGCTTGTTCTATTGAGACAGCAGTCACATCTGCATTCTGATTTTGAAATGACACCTCAGTGCCTGGTGGAGGTGGTTTGTACAAAAAGACTGCAAGTCCATTGAAGAAAATTGTGATAATTTTACAAGTAACACCTAAATGCAAAACCAAAAATTAATCACACATTTGGGGTTTTAGTTCCTGGAAAAAATAATGCCCTTTAAGAAATTCTACATGAACAGCAATTCACAATTTTAAAGAAAAGGATCATATGAACGTTCTAGTTCTGTATTTTAAAATCTTAAAACATTAGGGAAAAATACAACACTTATGTACAAGTTAATTAGCATTTATTTTCTTTCTAAACAATTAGAATTAATTTTACAATAATACTAGTCTTATTCTTGGTCATCATTTACATTCTCATAGGATCTAAATCCATGTTATATTTCTAACTTTAATAATGCAATGTCTTACTTAAAAAAAATTACAAGCAACCAAAAGTCAGTGAGAAAATAAATTAGCTTAATCCCTGAGCCTGAATAAGAAGTTGCAAAATTTTCATATACAAAATGAAAAATTCTTAAAATAAAAATACTTTGTAATTCTTAGGGAAAAAATCTATGAAACTATATCATAATTAATAATAATTCGGGGCTGGGGGTTTAGCTTGGCAGCATAAGCACTTGCCTTGCAAGCAGGAGGTCGTGAGTTCGATCCCCGGTACCGATAAAAATGTAAAAGACAAAAAATAATAATAATAATAATAACAATTTTCTCTAACCGATGAGCCCAAAAAACAAAATGTTCAGATTTCCTTCATAGGCTATGATTTCTTTTCAAACAGCTCCTTTGTCAAATAACTCATACTGTAGGTGGTTTTGAGCTCGACTACATGAAGTGAAACTAGTTTCGGCCCCAGTACTAGGCTGAATAAGTGCTAGCTGAGTTTATAAGCGTCAGCTGAATAAGTTAAACATGATCTCACAGTGTAATTTATACAGCTACTGATTTGTCAATCATCAATATAATATTTAAAAATGTGCACCCAAAAAACAAGAATGCTTATTGTTTTAAGCATTCACAGATTTGTAGATGATTCTATAGATTAGAATTTTTACAATTTTTGTGGGTTTGTTTTGAAAATGTATAGTTATATGTCTTTGGGAATAATTTCCACATTTATTAGCAAGAGAGAGAACACATCATTATCCATATCTCTCAGCTAAAAAGTAGGGAAAAAATCAGTTAAATAGACTACATATTCAGCCCATGAATGGGCTGAATAAAAAGGCTTTCTAGGGTTAGGCTTGCAGCTCAGCAGCACAGCCCCTGCAGAGCGTGCCTAACACCCTGGGTTTGATCCCCAGCAACACCAGGAAAAAAAACAAGAAAGAGAAAAATGTCTTTTAACAATAGGCAAAAGTAATGGGAAGATGAATTTTGTCTATTTTACTCAACATTAACACTCAGTTTTTTTGGAATTTATGTATCTTTTAGTCAATGTATCTATTACTGTGTAATTGAGTAAACACATGTGAGAGTAATAGCTCATCTACTTACAAGTGTCAGAGAGCAATGAAAATCATATGAATACATGTTCGATATTTCTCTATTTTTAAATACTTTAATTTCTTCTGTTCATTTTGAAATTCTACATTTCAAGTTTTATCTTAGTACTGCAAGTAAGACATGGTGCTTTATTTCTTAAATTTTAACTTTCAGCTATTATTTAACCAAGATATGATAGGCCACAAAAAGTAAAGAAGGAAAAACATTATGGCTAAGGCTCTGAACTCTAACGAGTTCCCAGAGCCAGAGGAACCTTCCCTGCAGCAGCCCTTCTATGTCTTACAAAGTCCAGACACCTGGATAACAGTCAGTCTACAGAATTTCTCAGAATTCTCCTTAAGCTTCTCAGTACACTTCCTCCCCAAATCTGAGAGAGACAGTTAAAAGCAAGTCATAGGATACGCAATGTAATTAAAGCTAGTCTTTTATTCTCTTCTTTTTAAGAGTAGGACTTGCAGGCTTCATTCAAAGCCTCTCATAACAGCTGTGATAACTGATCTCCAACAGCACAGAATAAGCCTTCCCAGCACAGCTGGGATCTAAGTAACCAGCAGCAAGGTTTTCTAACTCAACACTCATTTACTCCAGTTATCAAGAAGTCACTTACTTATGGCTACCAGCATATGGGCCATCTTGATGTTATCGTAAACCCAGCAAGCTCCTTTAATTCCACATTCATTAATATCCCACAGAGTACATGTGCTGTCGATTGTGGCACCAAATATAATCGGTCCAGGTATGGTACCTAGAAGAAATATAGACAAGATACAAATAGGTACAGATTACAATTTGTAATCATAGGTTTTAAACTTTATGTTGACAAAAAATAGGCATGTCTACCAACATGCAAATTATTTGATTCATGTACAAGCAAAGAGATAGAAGCACAAAAAAAAAACATTTTATATGGTTATGGATAATTTTATATTTCTAATCAATTCAAACAAGATTTTAATGAAAACCTCTAGCATAGATTGGGTTAATATTGAATATAATAAATATTTTAAATTTCTTGCTTTTATAATGTGTTATGAATATGCCTTTGAAATTAGCTATTACAGATTCAAAAAAATCAAAATAAGTTATTCTTCATATACAAATAAGTCTGATGAACTATGTGTGGGTAGGCACATTGATATAAGCTAATGTGAACTCATGTATATACAAGATAATGTGAATGTGTGTGCATGAGTGTATATTTATGTGTGGATACAAATATAACTCCATGCTAACACACCCAGCAGAATCATTTATTTTAAATTTTAAATTTTTGTTGTTCATTTTAATTTTATTAGTATACCTGTGCAGTAAATAATGATTACACTCATCCCAGGGAGTTGATCCACATACATGACATAGTTTCTTTTTTATTCCCTGCTTTTCTCCTCTCACCCCCTTCCATGTCTGGGCTTCCTTCCCTTTTGTAAAAGATCCATCTCTCTGTTCCCTATTAACCATCTCTTTGCTGGTTATTTATTTATATTTTGGGTTTCACATTCAAGACATCATGTGAGATTTAAGCTCATGTGTCTGATTTATTTCAGGCTGGAAAGCAATAAATCTCCACGCAGGGTGGTGGACCCTTCCTCTCTAGAGGTTCTACATTGGCAAATTTAGCCAACTGCAGATTAAAAACATTCCCTAAAGATTGTGGTGCTACTAGACATATTTATTATATTTTTCCTGTCACTATTCCTTATAAAGTAACTATTTACATGGTATTTGCATTGTTTTGTATACTATAAGGCATTTAGAGATGCATTAAGGTGTGTAAGTTTGAAGTACATAAGAGAAGGACAGGCCTAGGTCACATTCAAACACTGCACCCTTTTAACCCAAGGCTTGAGGAATCAAGGATTTGGGTGTCCACAGGGATCTTGGAATTAACCTTCCCAGGAAACAGAGGAATGACTATAGTTAAGGAGCTTGGGCTTATTACATATCGGATGCAGCATATGATTTGAGGAAATATTGCCTAGACAATGATCTACGCTTCATGGCCTACCAGTTGCACAACAGCAACAAAAATGGTCGTAACTCAAATCACTATCTTAAGTCCTCTTTACACTTTTAAATGTGAGAATAGAGACAAAATGGTGCATTCACAGTTCCTTAACTTATGTATCTGAAAAATGAGAAAGTCAGACCAAGTGATTCCTAAGATTTTAACTTATGTTTTTGCTTTTAAAAACTGATCTTAATTTTTTTAATGTTTCTTTCTTTCTACTTTTCCTACATCTAGAACCTTGCAAAAGCCTCCAATATGGGGCAGGAGTTGGCTCAGCAGCATAAGTGCCTGCCTGGCAAGTGCCAGGTCCTGCGTTTGATCCCCAGTACAAAAACAGCAACAACAAAAGATTCTCTGGTATAAATTCTTTCTTTCATCAAACCTTATCTAGTCATAGACTTTACACCACAGTTACTTTTGAACTGTTTTAACTCCTTATTTTTCATTTCTAATACAACACAATAGTATCACAAATGGAGCTAAAAGCAGAAAGTAAGTATAAGCTTGAGGTCATATTTTATCTTTCGAACAAATGAGGTATAATTTTTAATGTTGCATTTATCACAGGTTTGGAAATAACAGTAACAAATCAGGTGGATGAAAAGTAAAGGTATCTTACTCTTAAGTGCTATATAAAAATACTATTACATCTTGAACTTTGGGAAAAAGTTGTTTTTTCAATAACAATTCTGTAGTCTTCCTCTTCAATTGTTTCTTGACACATGCTACATCTGAATTAAGTCAATAACATTAATGAAACAAAATATCCAACACTTAACACTGCATCATATAAACTGGCATACCCACCCAGTAACCGAAGCAACATAAACTGTGTTCCCAATGCTAGAGACCGCTGCCTCTGATCAACACATCTGGAAATATACAAAAATGAGACAAGAAAGTTGTACATTTATTCATTGAGCAATTTTGTATCTTTATCAGTTTAGCATTTTGGTGCCAAATTAAATTTTGAGCATATAAAAGACAGAAAATTATTTATATGACCTTAAATTAGTTTAATCATTCTGGGTTTATAAGAGAAGAAAAATGCTATCAAAACTAAAATACTGCAAATAACAGAGTCACCAACCCCTGTGAATTTTAACAAAGGTAAAGGAGAAAAGACATTCATTGACAAGAACTGACCAAAAGGTTTTCATAAAACCTGTCAATAAATTAGATACAGAGCTGATGCACTCCAGCACCCTGCTAGTGTAAGTTACCATGCTACTGTAGGATGACTAGACTCACAAGTTCCATTCAAGATAGTACCCAAATTCCTGTCCTAAGTAATTTGGTAAGAAAAAGAAATAAAAGCTATCTACGTTGGAAAGGAAGAAAAATAATAGCCTTCGTTTCCTGATGATATGAACTTTCATACAGAAAGCCCTAAAAACTCCGCCAGAAAACTAGTTAAGAAATACTCAGGATACAAATTAACAAAAATTAAGTTGTGTTTCTATGCATTGTGTAAAATATCAAAAAAGCAACTAAGAAAACAATATCATTTATGATAGCATCAAAAGATAAAATACTTAGGAATAAATCTAACTCACAAAAGAGAAATTCTTGAAATTAAAAAAATTAATAAAAAAAATTGAAGACACAAATAAATGGAAAGACATATTATTTTCTTGCATTGGAAAAGCTAACACTGTTAAAATTCCACTACTACACAAAGCAATCTACAGATTTGATACCTTCTAGGTCAAAATGCCAATAATATCTTTCACAGTCCTAAAATTCATATACAACTACAAAAGACCTAAAATGGCTAAATGAATCTTGAGCAAGGAGAACAAAGATGCAGGCATCACACTAACATATTTTTAAATATAGTACAAAGCTATGGATATCAAAAGACTATAGGTCTGACATATATATATATATATATATATATATATATATTCGTGTATATATAAAACAGAACAGAGAGACAAAAAATAGGCCTACATATTTATATGCGATTGATTTTTGACAATGGTATCAAGAATGCATAGTACTAGGGCTAGGGATTTAGGTCAGCAGCATAGAAGCGCACAGCCGTAAGTTCGATTGCTGGTACTGATAAAAAAAAAAAAAGAATACATAGTACAGAAAGAAGACTTTCCTTAATAAACCAGTAAGTGAAATAGTAAATGCTGGATAATTACAGCAAAAGAATAAATTTGGACCCTTCTCTCATAACATATACCAAAATCAACTCAAAATGGACTAAAGTCTTTACACATAAGAGTTGAATCTATAAAACGTCTGCCAAAAGCATAAGCGTAAAGTTCCTTAGTTCCTTGACTTTAGTCTCCACAATGATTTTTTATGTAAAATCATAACTGCTCATCAGGGAATGGTACGTCAAAACCATCAATATCACCTCGCACCTGCTACCTGGCTATTAACAAAAAGGACAAAAGACCACACATACTGGCAAGGTATAGAGAAAAGGGAACCACTGAAAATTGTTTAAAGAATGTAAATTGGTATGGCTATTATAGAAGGGAGTCTAGAGTCTTCAAAAATTAAAAACAGAATTATCCTGCTATCCGGCATCTCAACCATGAGTACATATCTAAGAGAATAAACTCAATATGGGGGAGAATACTTATACCCTCTCATGTTCATTTCAGTGTTATTCACAATTGCTAAAATATGGAATCAAATTAAGTGTCCATTAGTAAATGAATAAAGGAAATGTGGTACATAATACTAGTCAGTTTCAAAAAGAAAAAGAAACCTTGGCATTTTTGACAACATGGATACACATATAAAATTACATGCCAACTGAAATAAACCAGACAAGGACAAAATACTAATACTTAATCTCAGTCATAAGCAGATACTAAAGCAATCAAGTTCATAGAAATTGAATGTAGAATGAAGATTGCCAGGAGCCGAAGGTAAAGAACTGGGCTGATGTCAAGGGGTAAACATTTCAGTTATTGCAGGGTAAGCCCTGGAGATGGAATACACAGCTTGGTGACTGTGGTTAGTAACACTGTATTAGAGTTGAAATCTTCCAGGAGTCGATTTTAAATGTTCTTATCTCTCTCTCTCTCTCTCTCTCTCACACACACACACACACACACACACACACACACACCCACACACTATGTGAGGTGATGGATATATACAGTAGCTTCATTGTGGTAATCATGTCACACTGCATATTTATTTCAAAATTTTCCTTAAAAAATAAAAATTTTATTTGCCATCTGAAAACAGTTATATTTGTATTTATACCAAAAATAGTGTCTTTTTAGCTACTGCCATTAACCTAAGTTGTAACCACATAATTCTAACACTTACTTAACTTTGACATTGAAATCCTATCTACGAGATAAAGGTATAACTTTGAAACAACATAAAACAGTTCCTGAAGCTCATTCTGATCCAAAAATCATTCTTTAAGGAATGATCACCAAAGATCAAGGAGGCAGGGTACTAACCAACAAAAGTTGTGAGAGTCAACTAGTTGAAAGGCGATTTATATAATTTTCAAACATGAAAATTTTAAAAGTATTTTCCCTAAATAGCTTCCATTTCCATATAATATAATTAATGTTAATTATTTAATAGTATTAGAGTTGAATTCATAGAACTTTTCATTTTCAAATATATGAAAAGGAAGTGAAAACAAAATACAGTAAAAGTTTTGGAAAAGCCCTTAGGAAAGATACAGAAAGACCACAGTGTTTATGGATGGGCACACAGGAAATATTTTTAAAACAGTATAGAAGCAGAACATCTGAAAATATAAAACCCTGGCTAACAGCTAGACTGCCGGCTTCTTTTTGATTATCCTCATTTCTAGGATGACTTACTGTCAAAGCTCTTAGTATTTAGGGTAGAATGCATGCCATTCTGAGTCTGGGTTACATGGAGTACATTTAATTTTCATGAAACTCAACTACAGTGTACCTAACTCCAGCTCACCACTGAAGCTGCATGAAATAATCAGAAAAACTAGCTCCACGCACACACCAGACAGGCACTATTATTATGGCACCTTCACACACACAGACTATCTCATTAAATTCCAAACATCTGGGGTTCTGTGAGGGAGCTTTCCTAATGACAGAGAAATCATGTTATTTTTAAGGGCTGGATGGCCGCTATAAGCCCCAGCTGAACCCCTGGGTTAATTTTCTTTGCACTCAACATGTTGTCTTAGGGAATGAAAATTTCACAACGCATACATACCTCAGTATGGACACAGTTATAGGAGTACCAGCCATAAAGGTGAAGATCACAGTAACAAAAAACATGCCAAGGAAGACAGGCAAATTTGTGCAGTGAGTTTCACATTTTCCTGCTTTTGCTTCGAAGCTCACACTTTCTGTAGATGTTATTTCTGCTTTCTTTTCAATACAGGAACAGTTGTAATACCTCTGAAAAATATGAGACATAAACACAGTGAACGTGTTTATAGGAAGTAACTCTGAGAAACAGTAATTAACCTTAAAAAATTCAAGAATGCAGTTTAATCATTTGTATTTGAGACTTTTGTAGCCATTACTTCAACTTGTAACCATTGTGACTTCCAAAACAAGTTGATGAGACTCTTAACAATTATATGAGCTCACACATTCTCAACTTGCCATCAACCATAATTATTCAAATAATGTTTTCCTGATAACATTCTTTCTTTTCATTACCAGAAGAAAAAAAAAGGCAGCCACTGTTACAATTTCACTAACCGTAATTTATGTGACTTCTCTGAATTACTTAACTGAAAGCAAACTATCCTTAAAGTGACACTTACCAGTTACTACAGCAGAGTTGCCCACCAGTGGTTACCACGAATGCCATGCCATACGCAGCTCTCTTCCGCCACACCACTCTGCCTCGAAGCTGACCAACCATACAAGGACTGAAGCTTCCACAGTGTGTGCACCAAAAGGAACCTCTCCACCCTGAACTAAAGGGACTGGCTGCCGTTCAAAGCTATAACACCTGCCAAATTCCTAGTGTAAGGGGCAGATTCCAGAAGGCAGGGGTCAGGTCAGAGTTCCCACATTGTGTGCAGTATGTTTATTGATAAAGTAGAAGCATAACGCTTTAGAAAACAGATTAAAACTGCACCTACCATGCTAATCTGTGTTTATCACTATTTTTGATAGATTTTTTCAATATTCTTAAGATAATTTGGCCTAATAAAATGAAATAAAAAACCCACTGTTTATCACATTTTGGTTTACTCCCAGCATGAAGACTGAAACCTGAGATAAACTTTTAAATCATTTATTATACACAAGCTCCTTAGAGATAAGTACATACATATATTTACAGATACTGTGTGAACACAAAAGTGTATGATTTCATGCACATGTACATCCATGTTGGTTTTGAAAGAACTCTTTAGTAATTTTATAGATTATTTCATTTAATCATTCCTGAAGAAATGTTTTCTTACAGCTTTCAACTTATCCTCAAATGGGAAAAGAAATGCCATGTCTTTACCCCATATTTCATAGACTGAGGACTGTCATATGATTCTTAGACAGCTATTAACGTCTTTTATACCACAGTGCTTCTACCAAGTACTTTTAAAAATATCTATCACATTACCTACTAATGCACATTACTTTACCTACTGAGTTACATAATGGAAGAGGGGCACAGAAAAAAAAAAAATAGGCAGTGTAGAATTCCACTACAGGGATTGGGACAATCCTAAATACACAAAGACTTCATGAGGGGTAAAGCAGCAGGCCCATTACCTTTGGTTTACTGTTTGAAACGTAGTTTAAGCAACCCGCAAAGCAGGGAGAAAAATATTGGACCCCATCTCTTCCACAAAGCGGATAATAATAAGATCGCAAACAGTTACAGTTGGCGTTACAAGGGGCTGTCAAGTTTCCAAGATCTCCTGTCCTGTAAATAAGAGAAAGCAGAAGGTGAGGTTATCTATGGCATCACCAGGAACGACAGTTCAGAAGCAGTGTAATATCTTGCCATTCATTTAGTCACACCATTACACACGGTGCATAAGGGAAGTCACAGATCTGCCTTTGTGCATAAGCTTAATTTCTTATGGCGGACAGGCCGTCAAAACAACAGTGATGTCTGCTAGTGAAATATAATGTAAAGCAGAGGAAGTGAGGAAAGCAGGTTCTCCTTTGATGCCAGACAGTTCTGAGTGGCACAGCGTTTGCAGACAGTGAGTATCTAGTAGCATTCCCACCTCCACCTGCCAGAGGTCAGTAGCTCTCACATTAATCACAGCAGCCAAATATCCCTTGAAAGCTGGAAAACTATTAAGTCTCAAAGGTTGAATTCCTGCTAGTCAGCTTACCAATGAAAAAACTAAGGCCTAGAGAGATTGAGTTACTTTTATTTCCTTACCAAATATAATTTTCCCAGTGTTGCTTCATTCTGCCTCTTAACGGAAGCAACATCCTTCATGATGCCAAGCAAGGATTACTCTAATTAAAGGTGCTTGTCCCATGCCTCATTCATTCACTCTTTCACCCACACACACTGAACCAGAGCGAGGCTCTACACTGGTAACAGAAAGAGAAGACTGAATAAGATAGTGTACACCTTCAAAATTTTCACAGTCCAGTGAAGAGCTGTATGTAGATAATGAGATTACAAACATGCAAATCCTGGTTACCGATATCCACAAAGCACAATTTAGAAGCACCAAGAGAGGACACTACAAGTCAGAGTCCGGAGACGAGAGACTGAGAAACTGCTGCCTGAGATGACCCTCAAGGGTGAGCACCAGCATGGCCATGGGGGAGGAGAAGGAGACCTCAGTAAAGCCTGGCAGCGAAGTAGAGGTCTGACTGGTGCCCTGTGGTGCAATAGGCACAGCGCTGAGCCAGAGCAGAAACACTGCTGGACAGTGATCAGGGACCCCCAGACCTTTTTAAAAACAATGAACTCTGATCCACTGGCAAAGGGAATCACTGAAGTATCTTCCAACTGGAAAGTTCTATTTTCAAATGTTCATTTTAAAGAAATAATCTGAGAAGTGGTATAGAGTTTCAGCTTGAAGGAAGGAGACCAATGATGACACCCAGAGGGCAGGTGCTGACAAGCTGAAGGAAAGCTAAACCCAAGGCAGGATTGCAGGAAACACTGGAGGAAAAAAACCTGGATCCCTAATCAGCGCCCTCTCTCTGAAGATTGGACAAGTTAAAGGCGACTCCTACAGTGCAGCTAGAGAAGGAAGTCAGGTGGGGAAGAGGAGGTGATGCACACCGAGGTTAAGAGTTTTGGGTCTGGCTACTGGCCTGAAGCTAGAGGTCTGCACAGTCCTGGGCCTTCACGCTGAGCTACGTGCTCAGCTCTTTTTATGTTGAGATGGGTTCTCTCTCACTAAGTCACTGAGATGCCCAGGATGGGCTCCAGATTGCAATCTTCCTGCCCCAGCCTCCCAAAGTGCTGAGATTATAGGAGCTTGTCATCATTCTGGGCTAGAAATCTTAGTGTCTGTCTGCATAGAGATGCAGTGGAAACCATGAGACTTGGTAAAATTGGCCTAATACACAATGGTGAGCAGAGCACAGGGGTCCCAGGCATTACTGATTTACTGAACGCATAGCAAACTCCAACCGGGTGCTAGCTAAAATACATCTAAAAGAAACAAGGAGCCAGAGCTGACAGAGAAGCAGGCATGGTGGTAAATTCCTGCAATCCCAGTTATTCAGGAAGCTGAGGCAGGAAATCACAAGTTTAAGGCCACACTGGAAAGTTTACAAAATAAAGATGAGATCAATCATAGAGGTCTTGGCTGACCATGCTTGAGGACTGGATTCAAACAAGAGAGAGACAGAGAGATAGAGACAGGGAGACAGAGAGGAGAAAGGAGAAGGATGAGGAGGAGGAGAAAGAGGAAGACAAAGAGAAGGAAGGTGGAAAAAAGAGATGGAAAGGAAGACAGGGAGAGGGAGGAAGGAAAAACCAAAAATAAATCTTTGGAATTCTGAAGGAAAAAGAAATAAAAGCAATAGCCTGTTGGTAACTATTGCTAGAGTCTCATCTTAATGTAATAATTTACACTCAAATTATGCAATTATGCATTTTAACTTTTGACACTTAAAAATACATATGTATATAGACATAAATGCTTGTCAAAAAACAGTGAAACTAAAACACTAATGTCTTAATAAAACCTCAACTAGCAGGGCGTGGTGAAGCATGTTTATAATCTCAGCACTTGGGAGACAGAGCAGGAGGAACACCAGAGGTTCAAGGCCAGGCTCAGCTACAGAATGAGTTCAATTTCAGCCTGCAATGCATAGGGACATGCTGTCTCAAAAAAACTAAAATAAAATGAAATTCAAACTGTTGTCCCATAATTATGCCTCTGCAGTAGGCAAAGATTTTCCTAAAATTATTGCAAAATCTTGCTAGACATGGCTTTTTTAAGGAGCAAATAGCTCATATAAACAATAAAACTCTTCCTATAGTTGAATACAAAAAAAGTCATTGCATAAAATACTGCTATTTCATATTTTGAGGTCTTAAGTACAAACACCAATCATCATTATCAAAGTATGATGCCAAAATACTAGAGATTATCAAAGCAGAAGAACAAACAAGGAGTTTTAATAAATAATAGGTTTCTGCAAATGTGCTTAGACAATCTCAAGTGAATTTAGTGTTATATCTAAATATAACACATAAATTAATGTAAAATATTATACTACTTTGTGACATGAACCTTGTTGTTATCAATATACACACGTATATAAACATATATAGAGATATACAATATATACATACACATACATAAACACACAGATATAAATATACATATAGATACACATAAACTCAGGTGAATGTGAGTATGCTTTTCCTCCACTAAGAAACGTATATGCATATTAAACACTATCTCTAAGTTCCAGGTCTTGATGCGTCTTCATGATCCATTCCTCCAGTACCTTACACAGATACCATCACTTCCCTGCCCTTCTGTGATGTCAAAGATCGCTCACTCACTCTTGTGGAAACCAGAAAAGACTAAATGGACTGACACCTACTTTGTTATTCAGGGTGATAAAATGATAAAATATGTGCTAAACTATTCAGGATTATCTGCCTTCCTGAAACAAATATACAGAGAAAGTGGTTTGTTAGGAAAAGTTTGGGTGAAGCTTTAGGGGTTAAAAGTCAGGTCTGTACAACTTCATCTACATGTCAACATTTGCAGGTACTTTTCTATCTCCAGATACATAACCCAAGTCCCATGCAAGCTGACACCTCAACCCAGACTCCATTTCTGATAGCATTTATACCCTACGCTTAGCATGTTCCCTCTCTCTTTGTCTCCTCTCAAGTCTTTATGTCTGAAAATTCCTTGTAGCTCTAAAAGATACCTAAAACAGTTCCACTTTGGGTCATGAAACTTCCTGAATGTAATCAACTAAAATCGAAAAGCTTTTCTTCTTTTGAACTTCACAGTCCTTTCTAGAGCCTCCAGTTATGTAAGTCGTTCTTCAGTCACAGTTTTGTTTTCCAATCTCTCTTTCAGAACACATTCGGCCCCAGAGGTCTGCCAGAGGAAGCATTCCACAATGCTGAGTAGCCAGCACCGAGCTTAACCAAACCCTACTCCCGAAACTCAGTCTCACATTAACCTGCAGGACAACAGGCATGTGAATAGCAACTACAACCCATGATTACTGTGACTAGCAAACATCTCCAAGCAAATTACATTTCATCCATGTCACCTGAGTGATGGATTACACAAAACGATGGAGTCCTGGGCCTGGAGTACCACGTCCCTCATCAGCTTCGTGCCCATGTGACGAAATAATTAAAGCAATGCCACGAACTCTGAAATATACTTCCATGCAACACTCTCCTGCATGAACCCTTACTCACAGCTTAGGATTCCAAAGCCAAACAAAGCAGACAAACAAGGAAAGACACACAGTCAAACTAGTTTAGGCAGAAACACTCTACAGGACAAGCCAAGTTACTAAGAAGTTGTTATTTCTGTATGAAAAACCTGAATTTTAAAGTAAATACACAGTAACATCCAAGACTGTCTTTATTTTAATCTGTCTTCTAGTCTTTCTCAAACTATCTATTAAGACGATTTTTTCACAGGGAATAATTTTCATTTCTTAAATTTTAATTAAAGAGAGCTATAAAGTGAAATTTTCCCTACAGTGTTGTCATAGTCTGTTTTTCCTGCTGTATCAAGATACCCAAGACTGGATCATTTATAAAGCCTGTTTATGTTCACTTGGCGGAGGAGGTCAATACAAGGAAGAGCAAGCAGGCTGGCCTGGCTTCTCTTCCTCGATTTAATAAAGCCACTAATGCCACCATGGGGGGTATCACCCCCCTGACTTCTAATTTTCATTACCTCCAAAGCCTCACCTCCATGTACCATCAAAATCTGAATTTTGTGGTGATTTCCAATACACAAACTACTGGGAAACAAATTCAAACCACAGCAGATGCAAACTTCTGAAACGCAGTGTTTTTGTTATGTCAGTCTTTATATCAAAGCCAAGCACACTGCACAGCACATGGTAGCTGTTTCTTAGATAAATCTCTGAATACACAGTAACAACTCTAAGAAGACATATTACTTAATCTAAACACGCAGACATTCTTACACTTTTTGAAAGTTTAGTATCTTTACAAAGTCCATTCCTCATCATTTGATTTTAAAATGGATACCTAGTTTCTTATTCTGATATTAATATGAAAAAGCATTGAAATATATTTACCCATTATATGACTCAGAGACACCTGCAAATGGCTCATTTTCACATTTGGCACAAATAAGTAAAAAAGTCAGCACAAGTGCAACTCCAGAAGTGACCAAAGCAAACTTCATGGCATATTTACACGTCATTTTGTATCTTGAAACAATGGCACCACCTAGAATCTGACCAAGAGCAGCTCCAGGAATTAAAACAGCTCCTAATGAAAAAAACAGTGAGAAGCACACAAGTACGCTCAGTAACTCATCCTGACAGTGAGAAAGCATCACAGCAAAACCCCAATGTGGCTACAACACATAAAAGTATTTGCCCAGCAGAGAAATAATATGCATAAATGACTGAAGAGTCCATCAAGTAAGGGCTTAGTAGAATTAAACAATGAGCATTAAGATTTCTCTTTAGTGTGGAAGGTTTGTCTCCTTGAGTTCATACAATCAACTGTCTGATTTCAAAAAATCAGAAAATTAAAATCACAATAAGGTGTAAATTTCAGGGTGTGGCACATCCAGATTTTATACATATATACACATATATTTAACATTCAATGTGGCAAAATAAATTATTAGAGTAAATGAAAATAAAGGCAACATTTTACCTCCAATGGTAGCTGCAAAGCTGGATGTCAGCCCAAACTGATTTTCTATAAATTTAGGTAAAAATGTAGCAAATCCAGTAGTAATTAAGGCTTCAGAAGAAGTTGACAGAATTAAACATATAAAGACAGTGTTCCTCATCAAATTCTAAAGGAAAAATACAGTTCACCAAATAAATAACTACGATCACATTAGCAAGAGCAGCATTCCAATGACACTATGGTGAAATGGCAAAAATTCTAACACACAATGTAACATCTTTACAACTTTTATAGCATTTTAGATCATAAAAATTTAGCCATGGATAATTACTAGCAGAGCAGCAAAAGGACTTGACAAATGATTTTTCCTTTATCAGATTCAAAGGGCCAGGCGGGGGCGACAAAAGCCTATTTGGAAAGGTTGTCTCCTCCAGACTTACTATAAATGTTCCAACTACAAATGTACCACTATGTGATTTTTAAAATTGGGTCTGAATTCCTTGGTCCACTAAATGAAGAACTTGAGACAGGAGCGCAGTGGGAATGGACTTAAGGATCAAAGTCATCGTTCTGTTCCACGATGAAGACACAGTAATCAAGAACAGCAGATGAGTTTAAGGCTGGACACCCTTACAACACAGCTGCTGTAGAGACAAACTTCTCAAAATCTATTATGTGTAACTCAGCAAATTTTCTAGCATCAAATACAGACTTTAAAAATTTATGAAACTTACACAAAAACACACACGTGGAACTTCCAACTGCCATTTAAAAAGAGTGTACTCTTTTAAATAAAAGGACTGAGCAACACCCAGAGAGTGCTGAAATTAATGGCAAATAATTCAAAAGTATTTATGTGGTCAGAACTATCATTCAATACTTAAGTGATATCCTAACCCACAAATAAAAGGCTGCACCCACAGAGACCTGACTCAGAATACGGATCCCTACACAGGAAGCCATAAGGACTAAAAAAAAGGCGGGGCTGGGGATTTAGCTCAGCGGCATAAGCGCCTGCCTTGCAAGCAGGCAGCCATGAGTTCGATCCCTAGTACTGATAAAAACGAAAAAGACAAAAAAATAAAAAAATTTAAAAAGGCAATAGTGGTTAATGACTGCTGATAATGTAAATTAGAATTTATAAAATTCACAGAACAGAAATCTTAGCTGGGCGTAGTGGCGCACACCTGTAATCCTAGCACTTGGGAGGCTGAGGCAGAGGATCCTTGCCAGTTTGAGACCAGCATGGGTTACAAGCCCAGCTGAGCCTGGGTTACAAGCCTGAACACAAGCCCAGCCTAAACAAGAAAATGAGACTCTGTCTCAAAAAACACAAAACAAACAAAAAACCCCACAGAAATCTTACAACAGAAAATAAAGAGTAGTTGGAATTAAACTTATAAACAATAGCAAAACAACATGCATGTCTATGGGAGGAGAGGGAGGCTGGAAGGTAATGAAGAATCATGAAATACTAATATAGCCAATAAAGTAACTCACGTAATTTCAATTTCCTACTGTAGAATATCTCCATCTAAAGCACTATGAAGTAATCTGGCTGCATGTGGTGCTGCATGCCTGTAATTTCAGTACTCTCTGGACTGAAGACAGGAAGACTGCAAGTTTGAGGTACCTGGGCTACATAGTGAGACCATAAGCTCAAAACAAAACAAAACAAAAAAAACGTCCCAGGTATGACAGCACAACCCTGTAATCCTAGCACTATGGAGGCTGAAGCAGGAGGGTCACTGAGAGTCCAAGGTTAGCCTGGTCTGCATAGTAAGTTCAAGGTCAGCCTGGACTACACAGTGAGACTATCTCAAAAAACAAATGAACAAAAACTGGATAGTTTACATAAGCCCAGAATGGCAGTAAGTAAGCAAATAAGAATACATTATAAAAATCTGTATGGGGTATAAGTATGCATGTATATTGTGTGCTTGAATGAATGTATGGCTATTTGTATGCAATTCTCTACATACATACATGTGTACATATGTACATACAAGAGAAAAAGAGACAGAGAAACACAGAAACTGTTTTATTTTACCTTTAGAGCCACTGGAAAATCTTTAATATTTTGCCCAAAATTCTGATCTACACGTGATAAGGAACTGCGTTTACACTGATGAGTCTGGGAAGTTTTCTCAGCTTGAACTTTTGCTGTACCTACAATACAGTAAACTTACTTGCTCTATCATTTCACTCATTTTATGTTTTTCCATCCACTTCTTTAACTTTTTTACCCCTATTCCCTCACTTCCCTCCCCTTCCCATCTGAACATTTTCTTCCTACTTCCCAACATCTATCGTTGATTTTTGTCCTTATTTACTCTTTGGGTTTCTCACATAAGAAAAAAAGCAGTACTTAAACAGTCCAATTCATTTCATTTAAAAGCATGGTCTGAAGGTGCACCCATTTACCTAAAAATGTCTCAAGTTTACCCTTCTTTATAGCAGGGTGGTATGATTTTTTCTCATTGACAACATACTTCTACGAATATGTAAATCCTGTAACACAAAGGATGTTCCTCTCTGTGAACAAAACTGTTCAAATACCTATGCTTCTCACTAGGGCATGCTAGAGCTGGAATTCATCAATACTAAGGAGGTGTCCACCAGGCTAAATATTAAAATGAGACACTTTTTCTTCCAATGCATATTCTGTCCATTTTAAGTTTAAAAAATTTTCCCTATATGTATATCTTTTTCCTCTGCTCCCTTAGGAGCTTAGGAGCTCCCTGCTTAACAGATAAAATAATACCTGCTATCTGTTCCTTCTGATTTTTTTTTTATGGTACTAGGGATCAAAATCACAACTTCACACTTGCCAAGTAGGCACTTGTGCCAGTGAGCTAAACCCCTGGTCTCGTTTAGATTTTTAATAACAGTACTGTGAGTAAATCTGAGAAAACAATCAACATACAGAATTAGAACTGAATGGCCCAGTGTGTAAAGAAATCGATGAGTCCAATCTACTACTTCTAGTTTGTCAAGTTTTATTTTGCCTATTTCCAATAATTAACCATCTATTCTGTTGCAAATATCAATGGAAACAAATCCCTTCAACCTACAGATAAATATTTCTACAAATAATTTTAGTTGCAGAAGCAAGATCTCATATATAAAGGTACAGATATTATTTTCTTCATAAGACTAATGTTGAAATTTTATTAGTGAAATTTGATAAAAAATAACTACGGCATAACTCTGGTGATAACTGAAAATAAAAGGACTTGTACTTTCAACTACAAACAACATGAATGATTTAAGGCAGGTTGGTCCTTGAAATCAGTCACACAAACTAATAGTTTAAAAGATATTCCATCTTGCATACAAACTTAAAGCAAGAATCAAGATAAAACATAATAAATAAATTTACTAAGCAATAATGAAGTGATAAGAACAGTTTTATTATTAAATAAAAACAGAGAAAACCCATAATAAATGTTGAGATTGCTATTCAAAATTTTCTAAAATGAATATCGATATTTGATGTTTGTGTAGGCAAAATAACAGATTCTATAAAACAAGGTGAATCTATTTCATTTATATTCATCATGTAGGAAATGATATGTGGCCTAGAATTAGAATAAAATATTCTGAATTTAAAGAAAACAAGTTTACCTGGCAAATGTTTGGGAAAACAAGAGAAAGGTATTATCAAAGACCAAGCAAAGAGCCAGGATACAAGAAATCCAATCCACCAAGCCCCCAGCCATCGAGGGTCATCTTTAGTGACATCAATGCTACATGAGAGAAAAGCAAAAGCAAAAGTCAACTCAGTCTTGCCCGTTAAAACTCAGCTGTGAGGACCTTACGGTTTATAACTCAAGTGCAGGTCGCAGAATATTACTATCACATCAAAAATTTTAATGAAGTCATTATACAGATTCAAATAACAGCACACTTAAATGGGTTATAAGAGTAATGGTTTAGAAAGTATTTTAAACTGACAAATATGACAAAAAGTCTAAGATATTAAATAGTAACTGTAAATATAATGAGTACTTGAAAACACACATAGAATTCTTAAGAATTCTTTACCTTTAGCTACTTTATTTTCTCCTCTGCTGTATGTATTACATAAAACACATCTCAGCAGCAAATCACGGATCTGTGAAAAGGTCATAAACTCTGCTTCCACTAGAACATCTCTTTACATGTAGGCTGAAGTAATGTATTCAAAGTTTTTATAATGGTTTACATATTTTAACATGAATGGGTCCTTTCTATAACACACCATGCACACAACTCATGTGTTCCTCCAACAAAGTTAAAATGTCATTTCTTAAAAACCTGATTCCATGCTTCTAGAGCTGCTTCTGCACACCTGTGAATAGTCTTTAAAATACTAACCTAGACTAACAGCTGAAAGAACAAGTCTTATATCTAGGAACATGTTTTCTTATTCATTGCTCATGGTCATGCCAAGGGTTATGCAGCTATAACCCGTCAACTCCTTTAATGGTAAAATATAAAAGGGGCGTCATCAAAGGTCACTGATGTCTACAGTTAAAAAAGAAGGTGACTCAGTGGGGCTAAGGGGGATTTGGGAGTGAAATATTCTACTTCAAGTCATGTGTTGACCACTTACTAATGTGTAGGTATCAACTGTCTTACAGGATTACTGGGAGGATTAAACAAAACAATGTGATGCGTGTTGACACAAAAATGTATGTGCAGAAGAGTATGGGGTAAATATTATCCATTATTACCACACTGTTGCTATTATTAAAGTGACAAAATTAGGATCACTATGCCACTGTCAGAACTACCAGAGAACTGACTCTGAGAATCACAGCCTTTCAAGACACTACAGGCCATCTATCTATAATTAAAGCTCATGAAAATGTAACTGTTACCAAATTCTTTTTAAAATATATGTATTTCATTTCACCAGATTCCTCTATTGTACATCCTTATTTATGAATAAATACAGACACTGTAGTACTGATTCAGGAAGCCTAAGTAATATATCATTCAAAAACTGTGTGTGTTCAGGTTTTGTTTCCTCCAAAATCCCTCATGCCATTCCGAGTAAGTAGAATGAAAACATTGTGACATTAGCATTATTTAAAAAAATGAAAGAAATTGTCTTGCCTCTGTCCTATAGCAAAATCAATGTATATGTTTAACAGTTGTCCTCCCAAAACATAGCCAATGGCAGGGCCCAAGAGCGACATAGAGTAGCCAATTCCTAGAAGAAGAAAGAAGACATTGGAAATACTGTATGCACTTTTCTTTCTATGTCTAACAATAACAAGGAAAGAAAAATATTTTACTACAGAAAAATCTTAATGGCTAGATCTAAATCAAAATTACACAGACTCACTGTAATAGTTGGTGGACTATTAATAGTAATAATTACAATAAGCCAAATAGTTACAAATCCATGCAAAGTTTTATTATGTTCACTGGGGGTAGCAGTAGCATGATCATTATAAATAAGGAAACAATGTGAAACGAGAAACTTTTTGCACTCTGCACCCAGTTGGAAAGCATTCTTTACTGTGCACTAACACAAATTTCAGAACCCGAATTTGCTGACAAGTCTGTTTCTTAAAAATAAGACATCTGATTTTAGCAACTCATTGTTACTAACAGCAGGATTAAGTTGACTATGTCAGTCAAATATTTAATTTTTTTCATATATAATTTAGAAAATTTACAAAATTTATTTGTTTTACCATCCTTAAGACTTTTTATTAGCTGGTAAGATTTTTATTCTCATAAGAGAACAAGAAACTTAGTTTATACTCAAAACTAAGCACATATAGTGGCAAAAAATACTTAAGCACTAGGTAAGTCTCCAAACAAAGCTTACCTGAAAACACATAAGACTATTTTTTTTATGGCAGAATATATTTATTGAGAGAAAGAAAGCTTCTGTCCAAGAGACAGACAGAAGGGGTTCCCAGTGGTTTGCTCATGTAAGAAGTTTATCCTTCAACCACATTATTTTATAGTTTAATTTTATAATGTAAAAAAATATTAGTAGGAAAATTCAAGTATATAAGTATTTAAGAGTGCACATATAAAAGATCCATGCTCAGAACAGTTTATGACCAAGAGAATACAATTAAAAATGCTGGAGCCAGGCGTAGTGATGCATGCCCATAATCCCAGAATTCTGGAGGCTGAGACAAGAAGATCACAATGAGTGCCAATGAGTTCAACGTCAGCCTGGACTACAAAGTGATTTCAAGGACAGTCTGAACTGCATGGTGAAACTCTGTCTCAACAAAGACCAAAAGAAAAATGCTGGAAACCAGTCATTTATACTTTTTTTGTTGTTGAGGGACTTTTAAGAATAATTTCCAATTAGGTCACGCCAATAAACTTGTAAAGATACTAATTAACCTCTGCAAAAATATAAAACTGCTTTAGAAGTTTTTATATTAGGACCTTGCAAAGATGGGAAGGAGAGTTGGTGATGGGAGGTATGGCAGTGAGGGAAAGTAAAAAAGAATCAAGATGAGTATACACACATACACCAATGGGAGTGTTCATTATGTGTCAGGAGCATGTGTACTGACACTCAGCAACTGGACTCTCTCTGACAGGATAATAAAGTCATAAAGAGAAAATTTAATAATTAAACATATGGCCTTGTGTAGTCTAGTTAGCTCTAGGCTGTAGGGAAGAATTTACAAACAAAAATTAGCCATATATTTATAAAACAAACAAAAATGTGCCATATATTTAAAAATATTATGTTATATGGAAAATTCCAAGCATTTCTGGATACTTGCTTGTGGCTTTTCTTGTGGACTCCAGTCAAGTCCACACAGGGTCTAGTAAGTCACCGTCTCCATATCTTGTGTACATTTCCTGGGGTTCAACCAATAAGGACACAAGGCTGCTTGGATGACGCTTGCCATCTAGTGAGGTCAGCGTGACAAGGGCAGGACATCAACAGAAGCCACTAAACATTCTATTCCCTGACTTGAGACAATCAAACCCATAAAAGTCATACTGCAGTGACCTAATGGAGATATCTATGGTCTGAAAAGAAACTTTTTAGTAACCCTAAGTGTTATGTTTTATTATAAAGTAACCAAGAAGACAAAATGATACCGAGACCGTTACCATAGAGAGTAGACTCACCGATGTAGAGAGAAGCTTTGTGTGTGGGTACAGACTCATCAATGAAGGCCGTGCCCAGGGTGTAGAGAGGGGTTCCCCCGACCCCCAGCAATAGCTGGCCCAGGATGAAGACATACAGGTAGTTGGAAAGCAATGATCTTGAAGGGGCACAGCTGGTGCTATTTCTTGCCAAGCAAGTACCTTAGTAGAGGAAAAAATGACTGTAATTATAGACATTTAAGTACCTGTCTTATATACTTGTCTAACATAACATTTAATTATTTGTTACAGTTACTTCATTTTGATATTTAAACCATTTACATTACTACAGTACTTGTAAAGTGTTACATGTCAAAATTTAGAAAATAAACAGCAAAACTGAGAAATATTACTTAAAGCACAAAATTAACAAATTTTAAATAAAACAATCTAAAGGCAATCAAAGCAACTGATATCAAGGAATTACAGTTTCTAGATTAAGAAAGAAAAAAGTAGTCTTTATTTTTCTCCAAGTCAGAAGTTCAAAATTACCAATACAATGAATTTATCAACAAATACCTTAAATATATTTGAAGAAGTTTTGGTATTTTGACCACAGTATTAACCTCAATATTTACTGTGAAGCAGGAAAACTAAAGTTACATCTAGTTCTGTTTTTATTACCCAAACTATTCTATTAAATTTATTTTTTAAATTTTATTTTAAAAAGGATAAAACAGAATGAAACCAATCAAAACAAACCAATGTAAGAGATACAGGATTTCAAAACATTATGAAATCAACAACAGTTGCCATAATGCCTTTTATGTCTTCAAAATAGTTGCAGATAACTTGGACACAGTGAAAGTCAAACAGAACAGAACAGAATAGAAACAAAACAAGATACTGAATGCAATAAAGGGCTTCAAAACAAGCCTATAGTTAATCCAAATGGCTATCATAAAATATCTTGTTATCTTAGAAATAGCTGCTCCTGCCATAAAATTGAACATAAACAAAGGAGAACAAAACCCAACCTAATAAAACAAACAATAAAAGACCTCAAAATAAGACTAAGGAGTCAACAATGGCCACAACCCTCAGAAGGAGATCCCCTCTAGATACCACTCTGCGTGGCGCTATCCTCTGAACCCATGATCAGACCACTGGCCCTAGCCCTGCGATGTTAGTGAAACACCAAAGCACCACAGGCATCCAACTGCACTTCACCTCCAAGGCTCTCATCACAGCCTGTGCTTCCCTGGATAGGCCAGGCACTTACAAGAGAGTGGGGGAGGTAAATTGTACTTTTAGTCTGCCAGCCCAGACGCCAGAAGGGGCTAGGGTCTGGCTGTTCCCAGTCCAGCAATGGCCCATGCATGGCGCTGGTTCCCAGATTGGGCTTATTTCTCACTCTCTCTCTCCACAGTCTGTGAATGGTGCTGACTCATGGGGAGAGCTTGGGTCAGCTGTTCCCAGTCCAGTGTCAGGCCACACATGATGCCAGTTCCCAGACTGGGCTTGCTTCGTTGTGTGGCCCTGTTGTCTCTGCCCACAGCCTGAGAATGGCACTGACGCATTTATTTTTTGAAAAAATATTTTTGAAGCAGTATTTAGGATTATAAGTTATCATTATAAGTATTATAAAAAAGTTATCTTCAAGATGTGACCAAAATCTTTTCTCAAAAAATTACATGAAGAGTAAAGATATTATGCTAAAATTATGCTTCTTAAACTCGATATTAATGAAATGAGATGCCTGTTAAAACCTATTCCCAGAGCACTCTCCCTGAATCTGGTATAAACACTCAGAGATCTGCATTTAACAACAGCCTCAGCTAATTCCACTTTTATTTCCTTTACATTAGATCAAAATTTATTACTTTTTGACAGGTAAGTACAGACCCCAAGAATCAACCCTGAGATTCTCTAACTGGTATGAGAAGAAATTAAGTTCATAGTTATCAAAGCATCAGATGCAAACTTGTGCATAAAAATCTGCATTTTTACATTTAAAATATACCTTCTCAGATAATATATACATATTATAACATGTGGATAAATATCTGGACAGATAATCTACTTCATCCATACCAATTCCCTGGCCATAGCAAGCATTCAAATTGTAATTTCTGGTTTTAATATTCATTTTCTTCAGATAGTACATTAGACGAACAATTTCTTATTGTGTAACATAACGCATGATTCTAGGTTTACTAATCTTTCTTATTTCCCTTTTATAGTAAGTATGTTTATAAGTAGCAAGTACATATGTTTCATGGTAATACAGTATTAGGATTGATTACATGAGTATTCTTTAGAGTTTTGATGTTTTTATTTTTTAGGGAAAAAAATCCATGATGCTTCATGGAGTTTTCTTTGGTTTTTCTTTTTTTTTTTCTTTCAACATATTTGTTCAAATACATTTCAAACAGCACAGAATATCAGGAGGAAAATAGCAAACAAAACTCTCCCTTCCCCTGCTGGCATGCACTCTGCACCCACCCTACCAAGCTTGGAAGGAAGGGGCACCTGCAGACAGCTCGGACATATACCACACACTCACACTGCACAGTGATTTAATTTTCTCACAGCCACAATCACACTAAACATGATTATCTTTATATTCAGCAACTTAAAGTTTTCACTCATTACATCTTCACATCCTTCTCTGTTTTTGAGACAGAGACTTACTATGCAGTTCAGACTGGTCTTCAACTCCTGGTCTCAAACTCTCCTCTTGCCTCTCTATTTTTTTTTTTTTTTTTTTTTTTGAGACAGGACCTCACTAAATAGGCCAGGCAGATCTTAAACACACAGCAATCCTCTGGCTTCAGCCTCCCAAATACCAGGAATATAGGCATGAAACACCACAAAGTCGCTGCCTCAGCCTTCTGAGTAGCTGGGATTATCAACCTGCTTGCCTGCAGGTCCCCACGTCTTTTACAGAGCACATAAAACTCTATTAAGATGTCATTATTGACAATATTACAATATTCTACAGCATGAATCTCCTGTGATTTGTTTTCCTAGTCTACCATTTAAAAGTAATGTGATAAATATTATTATATAAATTTAAATCACTTGTGCTCTTCCATTACAATTTTGTGGCATATATTTCCTTCCTCCACTTTTAAAATTTCTCAGCACTGAAAACCGAAGTCAAGACCTCACCCACGCAAGGCACAAACTCTAGCACCAAGCTATACCTGCGTCTTTCATTTTGAAACAGGATTCACTGGTTCCCCAAACTGACCTCAAACTTTGGGTCTCCCTTGCCTCAGACTCTCAAGTAGCTGGGTTACAACCTTGCAGTGTAGCACTGTACCCAGCACCCGCAGTTAGTTCTTAAATCTATCTTGGCAGTTGTGCAAGACTATCTGTAGGACAGGTTTCAAAAGACAGAACTGCCACAGATACTGAGGTTTCAGTTATTTCCAATCTGTGTTAGCGAAGAGTCACACAAATATGAAATCCAACCAACAGTGTAGTTAACAGTTCGCACAATAAAATTTATATTACTACTGATTACATTGGTTAAAAACATAGTTTTTAATTTTCAAAAAATCATTAAAGACATTAAACATTTTTATATACTTATTACCACTTGGTATTTTTTTCTGTGAACTAACTTTCCAAATTTATTTGATATGTTGAGTTTAATACAGGATTTATGGTTGTTTGCTCCACTCCCTGGCATAAAATTAACAGAGGTTACATTCTGCCATTTTCCTTTGTTTTTAACTTATAGTCTCTTTTCTTTCAATGGAGACCCAGAATTCTGTAGGATTAACCCAAATGCATTTTTTCTAACTTTCCTGTGCATGGAATTATGTCTGGATTCATGTTCTTATGTCACTGACTTTCACAATCTCTCTCCATCACAAATTTTCGTGACTACTTTGAGTTATTCAAGTTTGGGGACATCAGTATCTCAGCCAGCTGTAACCTGTTATAGTTCAGCACAACAGGCTCGGTGCTAGTGAGCAGATCTACTTAGGAAGTGTAAAATACATCTTACAAAATGCTGTCTGAGAAAAAATTCACCTGATTCGAGGTGGAAAACAACCAGAAAGGAAAATCAAATGCACAACAGAACCACCTACCAAGAATTATCACCATGCTATAAATTTACCAAGTTACCTTCTTAGGAAAATGTTTTTTAGAAAAATCAAACAATGTAAAGTTGAAAGCTCAAAGCAAGAGTTCATGGGAACACGGGAACATGGGGGAATTATATGGGTTGACATAAGTTAGGAAAGATATAAAATAGAAGAATGAAATTACCAAAAACAGAAGTCACACTAAGAAGAGCAGCAGGGAACAAAGGCAGAATTACGAGCCCCGCCAGGGTGGTGGTGCACACACCTGTAATCCCAGCACTTGGAGGCTGAGACAGGAGCTTGAGCTCAGACTTCATCTCAAAAAAACAAACAAAAAAAGAATTACAAGGACAAAGAAAAAAGAGTTGAAAACTATGAACAAATTTTTTAAAAACTAAGTAACATTTAATAGACTGCACAGAACTGTAATAAAAGCAAAAGCTATCAAATGAATTCATAATCATACAGAATAGGAAAGAAGTCTGTATTTCCAGGTATAATTAAGGAACCTTTCTTCTAATAAATGACAAATTCACAATCTAAAGGGGCACAGAGAATCTCAGGAAAATGTGATGCAGGGCTTCTAACGCCAAGAATTTCCCTCAGAACTGGGCATGGTAGTCCATGCCTATAAACCCAGCACATGGGAGGCTGAGGCAGGAGTATCACTTTGAGTTCAAGGCCAACCTGGTCTAGATACAGTGAGTTCAAGGCCAGTTGAGGCTACACTGTGAGACCCTGTCTCAAAAAAAAAAACATTCCCTTGTAAAATCACTGGACTTTAAACTGAAGGAAGACTACTTTGAACAGCCAGGCAAAAGAAAAATTCACTTACGAAACAGGAGATAAAAAAATCTTTCAGCGAATAGAGTTCCTAAAAGTATTTCATTCAGAGCTATCAGATCTAAAGAAGAAAGTACAAAATAAATTTAGTAAATTTTATTATTACAATGATTTTATTAAGTAACTAGATTCATCCATTTGGTTAATTCTGTTATATTATAAGAAGGAAACTAGGTGAATGAACCAACTTCTAATCAATATCTGACAAAATGCTTTCAACATTATTTAAAAAATGACGCAGGATAGGGGTATCAAAATACAGTTAGATAACAAAAA